ATATATATATATATATATATATATATATATATATATATATATATATATATAGGGAAATGACATACTACAGGCCATCTCTGAACTGTGTGCAACCAAAGGCCAGTAATTTTGTGTTTGAATCTTGAGAGAGGTGAAATTGAAACTATTGGTGAAGGAGAAGAAGAGAGTTGACTTGCAGATGGTTGACCATGGATGCTTCTAGAAGCATCCCCATGGATATCATCAGACAGTGATTCTGACTCAGTCAAGGCAATGCTACGTGAAGCAATTCTAGAGCTGTTATGCAAGCAAATTACATGGTTGATAAGAATTGTCTTTTCTTTTTTTCTTTTTAAATAATAATAATAATAATAAAAGAACAGAATGATTTGTAAGAAAGAAAATGAACCTGACTCTTTCAGCAATGTAGGGAACTGCACTCTGATAGACAATGAAAAGGGCACGTCTTGCTGGTGTTGGAGGAAGCCCATGTAATCCTGCAACCTGAAAGGATAAACATGTTCAGCTTCATGTTAACAGAAGAATCTTTCGATGATGAATTAGCTCCATACAAATACTAATCATCTTCATAAATATATCAATTCATGACAACAAGGCATGTATAGAGCAAAAAAAATAATCAATTTACCTGTGTGACATCACAATATTCCTCTCCCAATGTTTGTTGCCCTGCCCCTGTTGTTAAAACATAATAAAGCATCTGCCCCAAAAGCTTTGTCTGCAAAACGATATACCACCAAAGTTAAAACTAACTCCGCTTATTCTTCCACCAGTGTGTAAATAGGGCATCAAAGAAGTGAATCGCATCCATACTTAAAATGACAATGTATGATGCTTTGAAAAGAAGGAAAACTGTTTGTGAATTTAGGCAATTTGATATGTGATCCAATCGAAGGGCAACTGCTATATAACATAATAAATATAGCCCTAACTTTGAAGAAACTACACGTATTAAAGTTCAAAAAAGGCAACAGACCTCATTCTGATACGATATAGCTGCCCTTGTACCTAAAATAACATCAAAATAAAAAGTTAGAGAGAAGGTGAAATGCATATCACAATCAACCTAAAGTCTAAACGCACACGTAGTTAGAGGGAAAGCCCTAAATTTTGAGATAAGATAGAGACCGAATAAGTGGCGAAAGGCGTCACGACAGGCCTCGTAGACGAAAGAAGCATACTGGTCATCCTTCTGCGCCGCTCTCATTATCTCCGGCTGAGCCGCCAGCGAGAACCGCCGGCGTACGGAGTTGGAAGTACTGGTTGGGGTGGTAGCTGGACCGGCATCTTCTCTACCACTGCTCGTCTCGGGACTTCCGGCACCGGAGGACTCCCCGACTTCGATTCCCATTTTTATTTAATCTATCTCACCCGAAGGGAGTTTTGCTTCCCATTTATAATTTTATTTTATTTCATCTACTGGTTTTATGTGTGCTCACGTTAATCAATAAAATCTCGACTCTCGAGTCTCGAGTATGCTCAATTGCTCATAGCTGTGTAGAAACCCGAAATTCGTCCGAAGCTAAAAATACTAAAAATAAATAAAATACAATTATGTTAAAACTTACAGGATTGTCAAATTTTGGATTTTAGATAGGATATTTTTTGTTTTTTGAGATCATCGTAAGATAAATCGGATTGTAATATCCTAACAAAATTAATTAAAACATAAAAAATATATATATTTTCATTCATATTTTAACCATCCGGTGAGAGATTGTTGGGTGTGAAGATTGATCAAATGTGTTTGAGCATCCGAATGGAACATCTAGATATTGAATGGAGCATCTATATATTCAATGGAGCATCTAGAATTCACCGGAGCATCTAGAAATTCAATTGAGCATTTGGAATTTGTATGGAACATCTGACAGATGACTGGAGTAACAGAAGAAGCATCATACACACGATATGCCACCAAGGTGCGCCACATTGTGGTCATGATGCGTCATCTTGATGATCCTAACAAGTTTCTAAGGTGTTGTTTGTTTTTTCTAAAAAACCACTTTTGACCATTTATTGTTGCGCCGCGCAGCACTTGCCCCATCACAGCTGTTTGTTTTTCAGAAAACTTCTAACTTAAAAACCGATGCGTGTGTGTTGCGTGACACAACACTTAACCCTCTGCTTCAAACATCTTCACACCTTACTTTAACTTATTGCAGCAGCAGAGGTTAAAAAAACAAACAAGCTTTTTATTACATGTTGCAACCGTTTGGTCCCCCTCTTCTGCTATAGACGGTTGCAGAGGTGGTCCACAAACTTTAGACATTTTCGCTTCGAAAAAACAAACGACACCTAAATGTTGATGTGTTGCTTATGTACTACTAGAAGAATGATGCTCCACCAAAGGGCTTGATGTGTCATCATGACACATGATGCAACATTGGTTATGCTTGGTGCGCCATCATGGAACATGGTGCATCATTAGCTTGGATTGCACCCTTCTAATTGTGAGGTGTGCCAGGATGTTCAAGGAAGTCTCATGTTGCTCGGAAGTTGAAGGAGCTCAAGGTGGATGCCCCCATGACATCATGATGCGCTCCATGGGCATGGTTGGTGCTCAAGTGTTGTCTCTCAAGGACGAAGGTTCCAGAAGCACCTGCATAGCTTCATGTGATTGGTTGAAAATTAGGACACCACCTTCATGGGGGTAATTATGGATGGGTCTGGTCCATCAGAATTAGGGTTTCTCATGCTTTCCTATAAATAGACTCATATACCCATTCATTATTGTACACGCACACAAAATTTCAAAAAAGCAATCATTATGAGGTTGAGAGCACATCTTTTAGAGCAGTTAGTAAGCAATATAAATTCTTTTGTTTTTGAAAGCTTAAGTGAGGCGTAACCTTTGTGTATAGTTGTAATTGTTTTTAGAAGTTTAATAAATCATGTATATCTTTATCCCTCTATAACATCCCAAAAATACGAAGGTAAAACTTGTTGGATATAGTGTCTAAGTCCATAACTATATTTGGTATGTACTTGACCCGACCCGGCATGGT